AAAATAGGAAAGTATACTTTTAGTCTACTTTTTATGTACTTCTCAGAAATGGGCTTTATGTACTTCTCAGAAATATACTTAAAATGACATTTAAGTATACTTGACTTATACTTAGAAAAAGTCTAAATATATTTTAGCTATAATTGTGCTCCTAGAATCCGTGTTTTCATTGTTATACGGTAGGGGGTGCTAGTACACATCTTCGGTACAGAATTTCCAAAAAACACAAGAAGAAACCGAAACAACAGATGCTTCCACATGTAATCTAACACGATCATCAGACATAAAACGGTATCAAAACTATGTAACATTATGGAATAAAATGTCGACCAATGAAGAGGTAATAATAACTGTCAAGCTTTGGGGTGTTGATCGACTTTATCTACGTTTTGATTATCATTCTGAATCCAATTCATAGTCTTTTTTCAGCTTTTTGTTCAAAATGTTGTTTATTTCTTTATTTTTTATTTATGAAACTTATCCACATTCAAGTGTTTAATTTTTTTTTTTTTTACAAATTTTGTTTACAAGCAGATACCCTGCTCTTTTGATGTTTTGTATGTTCAGATATTCATGTAACAAAATATATACAAATTAATACCTAAATAGGGACATAGTAGTATACTTAAAGTATGATGTAAAGTTCACTAAAAGAAAACTTACGAGTATACTTGCAGTATAAAACTACTAAACTAGTACTTTACTGAGACTATACTTCAAAGTGTACTAAAAATGCTACTACAAGTATTTAATTAGTAAATTATCAGTATACCTATAAGTTCACTTTTAGTATAGTTGCAGTACAAACTAAACATTTTGATGTAAACTAGTTGTGTACTCAAAGTTTACTACTGTTATACTTAAAGTATACTTAAAAGTATACTTTTAAGTATACTTTATGTAGTAAGTATACAAATATCAGTGTACTAGTAGTATACTTGTAAGTGTACTATTTCAATACTCCTTGGGACTAAATTGGCCCACTTTCTAGTATATAAAAGTATACTTTTATATACTAGAAAGTGGGCCAATTTAGTCCCAAGGAGTATTGAAATAGTACACTTACAAGTATACTACTAGTACACTGATATTTGTATACTTACTACATAAAGTATACTTAAAAATATACTTGAACTTTACTTAAGTATACTTGCTAAAATAAACTTGAAGTATACTACTTTTTGGTAAGGGAAACTATGTTTTTAATTGTAGACACTTAGCAGCCTCATTCATTTTTCTCAAGCCGTTTCTAAAGGCTAGGGCTGTCAAAATGGCTGACAAACTAAATTCGAATTTTGTACTTAAATATTATCAATATTCAAATTATATTCAAATTTAAAAGGCATAATTTCAGTTAGGGGGAAAAAAGCTTTTGGCTTCTCTCTCGAGGCCACAAGAGGGCGCATCGAGCAAAGTATTACTAATGCACGTTTCTTCAAAGCAATAAAATAACACGACTATCTTTGAAAAAAGTGCATAATGTTTAAAATAATGTTTCTAAACTATATATAGTTAATTAAGTTGCTTAAACAATTAGAAACAAAACAGCATCATGTATGTATGTATAGTTTAATACAAAACCAATCACAAAGAGTACTTTTTTTCACTTAAAAACATGATGCAGTGGGATGGGGAAAAACCGCCATAAAGTTT